TCAGATTCTGTTAGTAATTGTTCATCAACTTCATTTTGGCTATTTTCCTCTTCTATAGGAGCCAGTGAAGGAAGTGACGGCCCTGATGGGTTAGTATTCCTTTCTTCTTCTTGAATAGAACTAGTCCCCTGAGTACCACTTAAGCATAATGAATGAAAATCTTCTTCAAATAAATCAACATTGCCTCTCATCTCATGAGTAATTCTTGACTGGCATTCATCATTGTTATCATAGTCTTGCTGGATTTGTCTTGGACCTATCGTCGGTTGCAAAGCCTCGTCAGGTTGTGAATTATCATCATTTATATTGTTATCAGGATCATTCCTTGCTATTTGTTCAAATCTTCGTCTTCTTTTCATTAACTTTTCAACACATTCAAAAATGAAATCCATACAATTTGAGAGGCAATCACAACAATCATCAATATCTACATCGCAAATCGAAAAAAAGGCTGTGCAACAAAAAAACCAACAATAACAACAGCAACAAAAGCAACACCAAAAAGTTGTTGCAATAAAACCAGCATATGCTGACCCATGGAGTTTTGGGCTTGAAAAGGTATAGTTTACATCAGTAGTATTAGTGGGCTTGATTAGAAAATATGTGGTAGCTTTATTAGTGCAAGTGAATGTGTCTATGCACATTGTGACAGTGCAGGTGTCAGTGTATAAATTGCATACTTGTTCAAGTCCAGCAGTATCATAACGTTTACGTACAACAGAAGCACTAGCTTGTATATTAACACTGCCCAGGAATGCAATCCCCACATAATACAGTCCATTAGTTGTAATGTTAAAGGAATATGATAATGTTGCTGTGGCTTTTGACTCAAAGCAGTGTGAAGCTGTTTCTGGATGACCATTCAAATTTGAGTTGATGAAATCATCAAAACTAGCATAATCATCAAAGAGATAAAGGCAAGCTGCATACTGTGAATTGATCCTTTTAGTACATTTTATTGTTACGTTATACTGAATTGATGATCCTGAAAGCAAATAAATAGGATCATAGCTTCCTAAGTAATTTAAACTATCTCTGGTAACAACAGTATCAACCAGCCAGTCTGATGAAACATTAAAGTGTTGAAGAGGAAGTTTATCAGTGACAATTGTGGGAAATTGATTAGTTTCGAAAATTTCAATTCCATAATGAGTTTCAAATTTTGCTGTCGCCACAGCAGGAGAGCTAACTTTAAGAAGGCCTGAACTATCTCCTAGCACATCCCCAATATAAATAGAGCCAGATTCTATTTTTGCACTTGATATAAAGCCAATGCAAAATATAGCTATCAGGAAAGACGCTCCAAGGAAGCAACAACAAAAAGATAATGCATAGCAGAATCTAGATACTATTGTATAAATAAAACATTTTAAGCACATTCAATCAAAGAAAGCAACTTACTGCTGCAATCATCTTCGTCACACATTATAGTGGAAGTCTCAGAAAGTCTGTATGAAAAATATGTCAAGATAATAATCATTGCTCATTTTGATATTTGCATAAACCTGCCCTTTCTAATACAAATAATCTATATTATAATGAGTACTATGCAGTCAATGGCACGTATCATGTGCTATCACTTTATGATTCAATTCTATTCAAAATAATTCTTGTGTTGTGGAGTCTAGATTGCATGGTTAAATGCATGCAAAGTGAGTACGGATATGACACTCAGACAGGCTGTGGTCAGTTCGCAGTGCATAATCGATAGTTGATACAGAGGATTTCACTTTCGTTTTAAAACTGCGTGAGGCATGAGCTGATTTTCCGTGCATGCTTTGTTAGGCGCAATACTCAATGTTTAAATGCAAGTGAAATCAGCTGTTCACTTGGATCATTGCATGTTCCATAATTTCTCCCCTCCTTACTACCATATAGAAGGAAATTTTGGAGGTAGCTAAATTTGGCGAATTTTGCATTTTGAAAGCCATTCGCCAAAATAAAAATCTGCCATTTTGAGCCATTATGTGCATGCTCAATGGGCAGATTTGAATTAAAATTTGCCAATCACCAAAATTAAGCAATTTGCCAAATTCAACTCCCTCAAAAATTTTCTGCTATACAGTATGTGCAGTTTACAGAGCACACAAATGTGATCCAAGTAATGTGAAAAGTGCAGTACTATAAAAAGTGTATTAATTATACCGAGCACAAAAACGTCC